ATCCAGGAACGTTTTCACAACGAGATTCGCCACAATCCATAGCATTCGCTGAATTAGAAATAACGTTCCTGATTAAACCCATTGACCTTAATTTTTGAATTATTCTGACGAAACATTCTGAACTTCACCAATCAAATGTGAACGAAAAGCAAATAGTTACAGAGAAAAATTGACTTCACAGTCATCCTTTATTCTATACCCAAATCAGCGTATTTGAACAGCTTAAAACTCTTATTCGGTGGCTTATAAAAGGTATGCGTAGCGTCATCAGCCATCACTGCAAATTATGTTTGTAATCGCCCTTTTGGTGAGTTGCAGTAGCTGAAAATTTCTCTGAATTAGTTAATCAATAAACATTTTCAGGCTCTGCTTACCACATGTGGATGGGCTTGTAAGTGATTCGCTATAAATCATTCATATGCTTGGCAAAAGTAACTCACTTTTTAGCCATATGTCCGGACAGAGATGGAATGTCGGATCAAGTAAGAAAGATGTTCGTTGACAAACACAACGAATATAGGTTAGTTTTTTCGACTTGAGCGAGTGGATAGTCTTAAAGCAGCATCATCAAGAAATGTCTAGGACACTCGTTGCCAAAGGAGAAGCCAAAAACAAGCTTGGTGGCAATGCTCCGAAGGCAGCTAGGATGTTGAAAATGGTATAACTTAAGCTCATCAGCATCGTGCAGAAAATTGATGAGGCCCACAGAAATCTCGATTGGAACATGTAAGTGGAATGTGTGTTTACGCTAGCATGAATTTGTTGCAGAGCTATGATTGCGCAATCGAAGAAAACATGATGGACTACGCCAAAGAATGCAAGTTCGCGCATAATTCCTACAAAGACCGGCATTACTGGGGACAAAATTTGTACATGACGACTGCTCGCAACCTCAATAAGACGAAAGCAGCAGAAGATGTAAGGAAATCAAGCCAAAAGAGTGGCTCTAAAAAGAAAGGTTTCTGATTCAGAGCGTATCGGCATGGTTTAGTGAATTAGAAAACCGTGGTGTACCAGACGACAATAGGCTCACCATGGAAGTTTTCAATCGCGGCGTTGCCCACTACACACAGGTAATGTGGAGCTCTGTGCACCTTAATACCTGTCAAACAAACATATGAAGTTTTCAGGTAGTCTGGCAATGGAGCAAGAAAGTCGGTTGTGCAGTTGAATGGTGTAAAGACATGACTCTTGTGGGATGCGAATATGCTCAAGCGTAGGTGTATTTCTGCATTATGTGAGTGGTGACTTCAGTAACGGCACTAAAATGCATAAGAAATTTTCAGAGGAAATTTCCTTGGATCTCTAATTTATGAGACCGGTGAACCTTGCAAAAAGAATGAAGACTGCGAATGCCACCAGTGCATTTGCGACGAAAAGGAAGCGCTCTGCATTCCGCCACAATAACGAAGATAATAAATTTTCTGAAACCGATGAATTTACACCACTCAAGTGAATGACAAATAATAGTGTAGAACATGCAAAGTCAATCAAGCTGTAAATACGGCGGGTGCTCAGCACCACCAACCCACTTTGAGTTCTAGCCTAATTACTGATTTGTGTAAGTGGCATTTCAAAGGTTGACGAATAGAGCAAGACAATTTCATTCGAGCATACAAATCATTGAACCCACTGCGGAGCACAGATCACTGGGGTGAAATCCTTCCCAAAGAAATTCTGAAGAAATTATCAGAAAATTCCAGTCGTAAGCAATAACAATCCCCACCCAATTCATTCAAAGAATCACGAAAACTGCGGATTCGCGTCTTCACGTCTTCCCTTGATTAATGGGTTAATTTCTTCCTTTTTTTTTATATAATATTACATATTTTTTATTCAACTTTTCGAGCTCTACAGAGCTCTATAAAATGTCGCAATGAAAATTTGGAGAAATTGAACTTCGAAGCCTCGGTCCATCGAAGCTTCCAAAGACACGTACTAACAATGGTACTCGCTATGATTATTTCATTTTTTTCTTATGAGGTTTACGAAATTGAATACCTCCACCATTTCTAAGCTCATCAATAATTGAGTGTAGCGCTGCATTTGAATTCGAAGATGGTAAGGCAGTCTACGACTGCGGTACCATTGGTAAGTAGGCTACTGTCGAGTTGCAAAAGAACTTCTTTGGTGATTACTAAGGAGTTGTTGATATCGTGGAGCAGTGCCTGAGATCAGTTTAAGGTGCTAAAGTCAGCTTCTGTGTAAAAGACTGCGCATGAATCGATTTACAGATGTATGTAAGATAGAACAACAAAGTTTCGAACTAGAGATAAGGTCATCACTTCATAAAATTAATTTCGAATATATGACATAATTTTGGTAGAAACCGAACGTATTGTTCTACAAGGTGATCAGTTTCGGCGGGAACAGTTGTATATAGTTCTAATTAAAAAATATAGAATTTATGCAGAAATAGGAATTACCTCATATTCGCATCCCTCAGCTTGAAAAGCTATTGCCATTTGAAATTAATGCATTTCCGAATTCACCCATTTTGAAAAAAAGTCGGTGTCGAAATGGTCATGTATTTAAGACATGTTAGTTGCACAACTTTCCGAGTACTTTCAATGGAATTGAATGCCTTCTGTTTATAATTATGGCAAGCGTCGCTGCTTATGAGGTCCATGAGCTTCGATGGACCGGACCGAGGACTTCGAGATCCAAACTCTTTAAATTTACATTTTACCACTTCAAAAAGCTCAAAGAGCTGAGTTGAACTATTTAACATTAGATATGAATAAATGAAAACTAATCTAGTTGTAAAACAAAGAAGAATGAAACGAGTCCGCGTTTTCATCGTGATTTTTCGAATACTTCGGGCAGGTGTTGTATTTATTATACCATGTATATAAGTGGTAAGCGGGTTTCGTCATTGGAAGGTTTTTGCAAATGTGATGATTTGCAAACCAGTTTTGGATGTTTTACCGGATTTACTATTTTGGACATAGTGATTACTAGATATTCAGCAGATAAAGCTGCATTTTGTTCTCTGAAGAAGGTTAGGTAATTTGACTCAATAAATGTTTTCTCGATAAAGTCCTGGACCGACATTTCAATTTCTATCACTCGGGATCTTGTACTACCGGCATCGTGTTCTCATCATTCACCTTCAACACTGGATAAACCTTATTATCAATAATTGCAGGCCAGCAAATACATAGATATCGTCTTGAGGATAGCATGGACAAAATTCGTTATGCCGAATTGTTGACAAATATAGGAATTCTCAGGAGTAGTGCTACGTAGCACTGCCGGTTCGAGTAAAATCTCTACTTCGAATTCAAGGTGAAGGGTTGTTTCGTTTTTTCAAGCTGATGCTCGTCACCTTGATCGAATTGTACATTTTTTTCTATTTGAAATTGGATACTGGTGGGAGACTCACCTGTTGGCCGCACGTAGTTATAGTGAGAGCCGACCAGTAGATGCTCATGCTATATTCACGCGAAAAGTTGCCCATTTCCCACTTCACAAATCTAAAATCCGCGTCTACAAAACAATGATGTAAGAGTTCATTAGTGATTAAAAACTATTTCTATGTTTTATTTCGAAATTTTAAGGTCATACCTATTATCTGATTAATGATTACTTGGGATAGATTCAGTGAAAGATATTGATTCTCATGGCAAACTTACTTTCCGGCCCAAAATTCGTACATTTCCTGCATATACCGTGGACGATGATCGTCAATATCGAGAAGGGTGAAGTTTTCAGGGAACTGGCAATTTTGGTCGTTGAATACCTGAGAGGGAATTTGGCAAAAGCTGAAACCTTGAAAAACAGTTGACATCTTTTAGTGACATAAAACTCACGGAACACGTTGGTATCCTTGGATCGAACACCTTGTAGTAAGAAAACCCAAAAGCATTCGTATCGTCTTCTTAAAAAAATTCGGCTTTTTTTACCCTTTACTGCCCCACTTTGTCAAAGATGGGCTAAATTTCTATCGAATTTTTTAAAGAAGATGAAAAACAGAACAGAAAACTAGAAANCCCCTCTAGGCAAGTTTCTAGTCTGTTTCATATTCTTGAAAAAAATTCGATAGAAATCCATCTCATTCTCGAAAAAGTGGGCAGTAAAGGATAAGAAGTGCCAAAAATCTCTGGCTTCGAGACTAATCTGATTGATAAGAATAAGAAAAGCAAGATTGAAAAATGTTTTTTCCATTTCCTTTGCAAAAGAAAATGAAAAAATCCATTATCCTAGACGCAAGGATGCGAAACCTAGAAGCGTTAGTATCATTTTCTGAAAAGAATCTCCGGCGTCGAGATCAATTCCGTCGGTAAAAGTGAAAAAAGAAGATAAGAAAAACCCATTCTTTTAATCTTGGAAGTTACGATGCGCTATCACTTTTTATTTTCATCACCCTCCGGTTAACCTTTCCGTGTCAAACTACACNGTTCTACGTGTCGAATTACCCCTCTAGGCAAGTTTCTAGTCTGTTTCATATTCTTGAAAAAAATTCGATAGAAATCCATCTCATTCTCGAAAAAGTGGGCAGTAAAGGATAAGAAGTGCCAAAAATCTCTGGCTTCGAGACTAATCTGATTGATAAGAATAAGAAAAACAAGATTGTAAAAAATGTTTTTTTCCATTTCCTTTGCAAAAGAAAATGAAAAAATCCATTATCCTAGACGCAAGGATGCGAAACCTAGAAGCGTTAGTATCATTTTCTGAAAAGAATTTCCGGCGTCGAGATCAATTCCGTCGATAAAAATAAAAACGAAGATAAGAAAAACCCATTTTTTTAATCTTGGAAGTTATGATGCGCTATCACTTTTTATTTTCATCACCCTCCGGTTAACCTTTCCGTGTCAAACTACACTATACCGACTTCGTAAGACCCATTTCGCGCTATTATTAAGAGAAACAGTGGCTTGATTTCTTCCTCCTACAAGATTCAATCTGATGGACAAATACTCATTGAAGTAATGATGCATGAACGATAGATAGAATGCTGATGTCCAGTAAAAACGATGTCACCTACGACCTTTGACACTTTCTTTCATCAAGAAGAATGTTTCAATGTAAAAGGTGTCTGTGATCTGAATTTGAAAATGCTTTCCCCTTATCTGGTTGTCCATTGACTAAAAAATGGGATGCTAATGCTGCCTTTAAATTCTAAATGAATGAAAAAGAAGTTGTGGCCTAGTGCTCCTCCTAGCGGAGCTTTTTCGCTTCTGAAAACTGTGAACGTCTGATCGTTGCTGCGACTTCCTATGAAGTCAACGCCATTGAAAGCCTAGTTGAGTCATCATTATCATTATCAGTCATCATTTGTATGAGTATTGTTGTTACTTATTTTGCCGCTTCCAGAGATTAAAAAAAAANAAAAAAAAATTGAAAAGAGAGAAGAAGACAAGTCACCTGATAATCCCTCAGAAAGACTGAATAGAAAATATACACAAGCATTCCAATGAAACAAAATGTAGCAGGCAGAAATCAGCAAGGCGATTTTGAACGCATGCGGGAATGCAGTCCGTTTTTGGGCTTTCTCAATAAAATCGTTGAGACGGTAAACTGCAAAAACGGCGATCAGAATTCTTCATCCTTTTGAATTTTTTCTCACACTTGCATCATATTGGAAGCTGACAAATGTTGAAAATTGAGAAACAGCTGAAACAACTTTTTATATTTCTTCACTTGAACTGATTCACAAAATTTTCCCTGCTCGTCCCACTTTTTAAATAGGAATCTGCTGGAAAACTATTGGGAGGGTGCCATAAACATTTTAAGAACATCTCAAAAAATATACCCAATAAGAATCAATATAGTAGGAACTCTATCAGTGGACGGTTTATCCTGAACAGTTGCCTGTCTTCTCTTACATACCCGTTTTACCGACGGTATCCGTATCCAACTACCTTGAAACCTTGTGTGAAGGTATCATGCTTGAAGCTTTACCATAGTGGTTCATCCTCCCCAATTTCATTTGACAGGCTGAGAGCTCAACCTTATCATATGTCTAGGAGGATGTGGGAAATCAAGGCAAACCTCTGAATTTCTAAAGTCGGTTTCTATTTATTGATCATTACAGAGCCCTAAAATATGAATGCCATACTTCACGAAATTTCTTCAACGGAACGCTTACTACGGAAATGACACTTACTTTTAAATAGACGTACTGCTCGCACCAAAGAAATGGACCTGTTGAAAATGAGGACCAAGTCTGTTGGGATCAATGAAGCGATATCCAGATAAATTCGAAAGCTAAAAATTATAGTATTATAGTATGAACACATACCACGTGCGTTTGAGCTTTTCCTTTTTGTTACTGTCGACTCCACCGCCTTGGAGATAGAAGTAGCAACTATCATAGGTTTCAGTGTTTACTAGTGAAGTGTATTATCGCTTTCAATTATTTGAAAGGTTGTTGGATCAAGATTTGCACAAAGCCAAATGTTCAATTGGCCGCTTGCCAAAAACCCTGCTATTTCTCAATAAAGTGCACCTCAATCTGTTCGATGAGGTTTCCTTTTACCCAATTTGAGCTCAGCCGGTTACTTCAAGACAAGGTAACGAAGAAATACAAAATTCAGTGTCTCTGAGAAAGTGAAAAAATTTAAATATTCGAAATCGGCTGACTGACCTTTTGTAATAGTTCCTCANAAAGTAGTTCAAGTAGTATGGTTCCCATTTATTAATGATTATTGCCTTTGAGATGAAATTTCATCAAAATCTCTGCACAACTTACTTGTCCTAGATTGAATAAGGATATCAAGGAGAAACACGCAATCAAAGAATATGTTCAAATAAAGCCAGTGAAAAAAGTATCCAATAAATACATCATCGAATATGAATATCACCATAGCCATCATGTTATACAGTAATCCAATTGACACGAAACAGGTCCAGTAATAATAAAAATATCCGCTTGGAGACACGTAAAAATAAATCAGCTTTCTGAAAGAGAACTTTAGAAAATGATTGAAATTTTAATTTTATGTTCGAGCTCTATTTTGAAAACTCTGCAAACCTATAATTACCGGCTATTTATTGTACAATGTGGGAACCTTGTAGAGAAAAAAGCTTCTGTAAACGTTTTCTATAATGTTGGGAAAGAACCTAGTCACGATTTTTTTGTACTATAAAGTGTATAAAACTAGGATGAATTGATTTATTTCTTTGTTGCAAGTTAACTGCACCTCTGTGTGAATTTCCTTTGCACATGTTTGAGGTTGTGTTTAATACCTGTAGCAATCACTACAATCAATAGGACCAGAACCCTTTTTGAAGTAGACCACGTTCAAATTCCTTTTAATCTTGGCATGAGCTTTAACCTGTCAGAGTGTTGGCTTTTCAAAACGGTATTGGAAGGCGTCTGGGCCCTTTCGAATGCCTTCGAGCTCGGAAGTTAAGAAGCATTGAGACCGATTATGACGCCAGACAATGTTTGAAGGATTTCTCTAAAGTGGCAGCCTCTCGAGCCAGACCAGTACAATGGTGCAGTACAGCTTACCGACCAGTACAATGGTGCAGTACAGCTTACCTTGATCCTAATCGCAGTAGTACTAGATCGACCACCGAGAAACGATCTTCATCGTGCAATCGGCGAAGATCCTATCTCCTTCTCCAATTCAGAATTTTCAGAGGTCGAGGAAGGGCTCGAAATCACGGGTTATGGCCACACATTCCTCTTTCCTATCAGTTTGTAGAAATTTCTATTCCCTGGCTTCAAATCAAAGCGCCTTAAAGCTCTCCTGACGGTGGTCTCCATTTCTAGTCCCAGGATGCCTGTGTCAGCGCCTACTTAAATTTTGAAACTCTTACCACCATGACATTCAACCCGATGTAATCCTAAGGTCTTTCACATTCCCTCAAACCTTCCTTCATGCTAAGTTCGTGTTTA